CAGCTTTCCTTCGAGCCTAGTCTCACATGGGTTGGACCAGAAGACGCCAAAAGGCGCACAACTCAAAGACAATGCACCATCAGAGTATGAGAGCTCGGGGCAAGCATCTACACTATGGGGACCTCATTTGCCAGTAAAAATATGATAATTGGTTCTTTACCCTTCTACCTGGCAACAAAACTGACACCTTTTTACAAGGAGTCATGTTTGCATAGACCGCAATACCTGCAGTCATAAATACAAACAAAAGACATAACTCTGATAATGTGCACTGTCCTTGAAGTTGATTGGTCCACACCCGAGACAGCTTTCCTTCGAGCCTAGTCTCACATGGGTTGGACCAGAAGACGCCAAAAGGCGCACAACTCAAAGACAATGCACCCTCAGAGTATGAGAGCTCGGGGCAAGCATCTACACTATGGGGACCTCATTTGCCAGTAAAAATATGATAATTGGTTCTTTACCCTTCTACCTGGCAACAAAACTGACACCTTTTTACAAGGAGTCATGTTTGCATAGACCGCAATACCTGCAGTCATAAATACAAACAAAAGACATAACTCTGATAATGTGCACTGTCCTTGAAGTTGATTGGTCCACACCCGAGACAGCTTTCCTTCGAGCCTAGTCTCACATGGGTTGGACCAGAAGACGCCAAAAGGCGCACAACTCAAAGACAATGCACCATCAGAGTATGAGAGCTCGGGGCAAGCATCTACACTATGGGGACCTCATTTGCCAGTAAAAATATGATAATTGGTTCTTTACCCTTCTACCTGGCAACAAAACTGACACCTTTTTACAAGGAGTCATGTTTGCATAGACCGCAATACTTGCAGTCATAATACAAACAAAAGACATAACTCTGATAATGTGCACTGTCCTTGAAATTGATTGGTCCACACCCGAGACAGCTTTCCTTAGAGCCTCGTCTCACATGGGTTGGACCAGATGACGCCAAAAGGCGCACCTTTTAGAGCCTAGTCTCACATGGGTTGGACCAGATGACGCCAAAAGGCGCACAACTCAAAGACAATGCACCATCAGAGTATGAGAACTCGGGGCAAGCATCTACACTATGGGAACCTCATTTGCTAGTAAAAATATGATAATTGTTTTTTTTTTTACCCTTCTTTCCGGCAACAAAACTGACACCTTTTTACAACGAGTCATGTTTGCATAGACCGCAATACCTGCAGTCATAATACAAACAAAAGACATAACTCTCATACATAGTGGATTTGCTCGCGAACATAATTGCATTACTGGCCAAATCCCAGAATAACAAAGACAAGGCGTCATCTGGTCCAACCCATGTGAGACTAGGCTCTAAGGAAAGCTGTCTCGGGTGTGGACCAATCAACTTCAAGGACAGTGCACATTATCAGAGTTATGTCTTTTGTTTGTATTATGACTGCAGGTATTGCGGTCAATGCAAACATGACTCCTTGTAAAAAGGTGTTAGTTTTGTTGCCAGATAGAAGGGTAAAAAACAATTATTGTACAAGGGTTCTTTGCCTTTTATAGTATGTACTGCATTGAAACACTGCAACCACCAAAGGTTAAAATGAACTGTAATGGTAAAAAACGACAAAAGAATAAATTCATTAATCAAATCGTGACCTCTACAGCCACTAAAGATTGTACATGCCCGACATGGTAAAAACAAGGAATTGATTTGTGAATAGAAACATGACCAATGCAGCCCCGAGAGATTCCGCACGATCCGCGTGGTAAAAAAAGATCCAATCAAGATGTGATTTGATGTTGATTGGGTCACATTCTGCCCCGTGCTCAGTCATTCTGATTATCTGCTAAGATTTTTTTTTTCTTGTAAAAAATACAATTGAATTCAATTTCAACTGAACCGATGACACATTCTGACTTATAAACATTTGAGGATAATTGAGTTTATAAATTATCAGTGCATTCTAACACTTAGATCATAAGATGCACATATTTTTTTAATTTGTATATCAAACATGTCTGTCTCTTTTCTAAGCTGTTAGAATTTGGCATCATGTACAGGGTTTGACCTACACTTGAAGTGAAAACCTCATACATAGTGGATTTGCTCGCGGACATAATTGCATTACTGGCCAAATCCCACAATAACAAAGACAAGCAGAGATTCGTCACCGAACTTCTTCCACTTTACAGCCGACGACGTGATAAATAACATGGAGTGGCTCGCCTTTGCCTTCCCCATGCCCACTGCTGTACACTGCCTTTTCTTTCGTAAACAACGCTGGCATCTCCACCTTGGCCCCCCATTCACTGTGGATCCCTTCCGTCGTACAGACGGTGGAATCCATGCAACACGTGAAGCGATGTGTTTGTCTGAATAGGTGGAGAGTGATTTTGTCGTGAGGCTGCTTTCCCCAAATGCGGAGCTCATTCTGCTGAAATGGCGCGGAATTGCGGTTTCTGCAGCCCACGTGGATTGTGGCTGGAGACTTTAGCGAGGGGGCGTGGTGCTTTTCCAGGGATTGCCTCCTTAATGCCACCGACAACTCATTGGGGTCACCATAATAATGCTAAGTGATTTCATGGCAGTGGGGTAGTTTATTTCAATGTGTAAACGAGGAATGAATAAGCAACATAATTTACCTGTAAATAAATACAAAATATATACATAAATGTAATTCCTGGTGTTCCCATGCACCACAAGTTCATATCACAGGTTCGCTTATTATTTATTTTATTCACCTTCATCATTACATCTAAATGTAACATTTTAACTCTGTAAATCACTTTGGTCAAGGCGCTATATAAATTACCATAAGATGAGATAAGAAAAGATTGTACTGCATCAACTGCTAAAACAAATTATATATAGGCATGAATTAGATTTAAAACGCTTATAATCACAAAAGTTAACAAACAACAGTAGCAGAACATATCTATTGCACCATTTTATCAACTATAACCCTTACGAGAATAGGTTTTCCCCTTTTTCTGGCAACAAAACTGGTGTTAAGATGTTAAAACACCAAACTGAAACCTTTTACAAGGAATCATGTCTGCATTAACCACAATATTTGTGGTCAGAATGCAAACAAAAAGCGCACTCTGATAATATATGCATTGTTTTGTTGCCAGAAAAAAGGGGAAAACCTATTCTCATATTTTGGTAGTGGCAAACGAGGTCCCGTGATATAACCCTTGCGTTACTAGCTTGGTTGATATTCGGCTTGCAGTGTGGATACACAATTTTGGGAGTCGAGACAACATTTTCACTGCTAAAGAGGTACGTGGGCTTGGGCAGGACACGTCACTAGAACGCAGGTGATGGTCGGTGGTCGTGCCTAATGACGGAGTGACAGCCAAAGTAGGGATGCACCCCGGGAAGTTATCAACATTGGATGGGAACTTTACCGAAAGAACCAAAGAGTATGGATCCTTGCAGTCACGAAAACTTCAAATCTAGAATTAGGTTCTAGGTGGTGACCGACTGAGGAGGCTATTATCCAGCAGTGGATTGATCGCAGCAGCTGATTATGTTGACGATAGCTTTCCCTGATATCCCCGCTTTGCATTTATTAACGTCATATAGAGCCCTGAATCACTTTACCGTGTATCAAGGTATCCCATTGGTGAAATCCGTGACAAAACCTGCATTTGCCAGGGTGCTGATTTCTCTGTCCGTGTTAGGGAAGTACAGAGTAATATGTATCAAGCTTACACCAAGTTCCGAGTATCTAATTGGATACGAGGTGAAGCAGAAGAGTGTAGATCACATCGGGAGGGAGATGGAGAGCTGTGAACTTGAGGTCAAGAGGCTTGATGCTGGAGTCAGGAGGCCAAACCATGGGGATGTGTGGCTTTATGGCAGTTATAGATATCTCATGTGGGAGGTCAAAATTCCCAACAGCAGGGTCAGGAGGTCTGACGGAGGGGTTGGCGGGGTCAATTTTAAGGAACGGAAAACCCAGTAGAGGGTTCGGGGCGATATGATGGGCTAACAGCCAGGAAGAGGGAGAGTCACAGAGACGTGCGACAATGGGGAAAAGAGGTTGTGGAGATACCCGAGAGCTAACGAGGCAACTCTTACAACTGAGGTTATCACGAGAAATGAGTAGCTTGGCATACACCAGCACTGGAAGCGTGCAGCCAGGCTCGATGGAGCACCATTCAATGTAACACAGTGCAGTTTTCATGTTATTTGTTCAAAAGCCCACGTATGCTGTTAATTTTCACGCATTACGTAACAACAACTAAAACTAGAAATATAAGTGAAAACGTTACTTAATCTTGATTTGAAGCTTTCGTGACTGCAGGAATCCATACTCTTTGGTTCTTTTGGTAAAGTCACGTAGGTATAATGATGGACGCTTGTGTTGCGCCCGAAATGTCGTGATTTATTTTATTTTATACCTACGTAACGTTGTTTAATCCTAATTTACTGTCTGGCCAGAAACAAATATAACATAGAAATTCTTACCTTCTCGTGAAAATGTATTATCACAATATTTGTATCTCACAAATTGCCTGAATCTAAATTGCCACTTAATTAATGTGCTGCGTTGGTGCCTCTTTAACTTGTACGTAGAGGTTAGGGTTGGTTTCAGTGATGTTTGCTTCCGACTCTTAGGTTTTTTCGGGTAAAGTCACGTAGGTAAAAAATAAGAATAAAATAAAATAATAATAAATGAAAATAACTCAATTAAATCACGACGTTTCGGAGGCAACACAAGTCTCCGTCTTCAGGTGGGACCGTCACAGCCAAATTTACTGTATCAAGTGTAGAGAAATCCAGGAGACAAGATCTTATATACTGGTTAAGGGGAAGGGGGAGGAGCTTATCTAAATGCGGCAGTCAGGGACTGTTTGCTTCCCTTTCCACAGCACTAATTAAATCATCATGAACTGTAATTGCTGTGTAATCTGAAACGCACGATGTTCTATTTTCAAACAAGTGCTAATGTAAAGATGCGGGTTTTTGTGGACTTTGGCGGTTCATTGGAAGACGTAATAGAGCAGATCCGTCTCATTCACAGGTACAATGGGCCCAATCTGGTGCTGAAGTACAACCGCGCAAGTGGGCGTCTGGAGAATGTGGCGCTGGATGACAAGAGCTCCCCGTTTTACGCCCTGCGAGACCGGCAGGGCAACGCCATTGGTGTCGCCGCTTGTGACATTGATGGGGACGGCCGAGAGGAAATCTACTTTCTCAACACCAACAATGCCTATTCAGGTGAGCCGGGGGTTAAATCACCGGAGGTATAAGCCTCTTGTTGGACCTTAGCGTCCGCAGGGGTTCAGCGTCGGGCCAATATAAAAGCAGCGAACCTGACCTTTACGTGGCACTTATGTGGTTTAGTGCGACCGCATTCAAAGGTACTGCTGGAGTGTTGGAATTCAGTGGAAGGGCTCCAAAGTCATTAAAAGAAGTATGCCAGCAATAGAAAATGTCAAGGTCACGTCTGTGCTGCGATATTTTATTAATAACTACACCATGTATGGTCAGTACAAATTATATGAAAACGGACATGTACCCACATATTCCCATTTGCTATTGCCTACACTTGTTTTTATTCTTTTTGCAGCAAAGAACACCACTGTAAATCTGGTTGTGACAAATGACACTGAAAATTTTTAATTTTAAACTGGTCAATGTCAAGTTGAGATTATCACTGTTTTCTTAATACAAATTAGTGCAAGAGCCTATTTAATGCATGCTGCGCAAAAGAGAACACTGGGGGAATTGTCTTGCTATGGCTTCCTTTTGGACAACTTTTGAAAATTGGTATAAATAGTAATGGAAGAAATCTCCAGCTACTTTTTAACCAGAGGTCAGCGCAAATGAACGTGATGTATTTTTAATTAATACCAGAGGGATTCAAAAGCTTAGGTCTCTTCAACTGTTTTTATGACCACTTTAAATGCAGCTGAGTGCTACGTGAACATTTGAATGGAGATAAATTGATATTGTAATTAATTAACACATGAGTAATTCACGATGCCCGCTTGCAGTACGGAAGTCCGAGTGGAAGAGCCTTGCAGCGTGTTGCATTGCGGAAACAATGTGACGCACAGACCGGTTGTTCTGTGGTTTCAGCATAGTGGTCTCGGCAAAGCGACACATTTACTCTTTGATTTTGGGAACAGAATGGGATCAATGAGGGGCTGGCAGCGCCACAAATGCTGATCTTTTATTGCCAGTTTACGATTACCGTTGTGAATGTATTTCATGGAGAAAAACAGCACGAGTCCATAGGCTTGTTGACTTGCCGTACTTTTCTACGACATGTGGCCATTTCCACTATGACCACCTGACTCAGCAAAATAAACACTAAAGCTATCTCTTGGATATGCAGAAACAGGCCCAGTTAAACATCTAATTTCAACTCATCCACATATTCCACTCCAAAGCTTCGTTTTTGTATTTATTGTTCATATAACATCACACAATTCCTATTGTGGAAACCCCAACCCCCCTCCCCCAAGTTGTATTTCATATCGTGTATTGGTATTTTGTCCTAAGTTGAAGTCATGTACATTCAGAAAACTTGTGTTAAGGAATAACCCATGGAAAGGTCTTGCCATATAAACGCTTCTGAAATATGTAATAAAGGACTCTCTCTCAGATGTCGATCTCCGTTGTCCTTTATTGGGTTCGTAGAATCTCGTTACCACGGCATCCTCGCTCAGGCCCGCGTCCCTCCCGACGATCTCTCCACAGCCACTCGGCTGCTCCGATATGCAGTCTCCCTGCTGCTCCGATATGCAGTCTCCCTGCTGCTCCGTTAGGCAGTCTCCCTGCTGCTCCACCTTGCAGCCACACCGCTGCTCCGCTCTCTAGCTTCACTGCTGCCCCGTATACAGCTAGCCTCCCACAGGCGCTAGCTCTCTGCGTCTGACACCGATGGCTGACGGTGTCGACGTCTCCCACCGCGTGGCGACCGCGCCACTCTCTCCGTCCTGCCCAGCGTGGCCTCCTCCTGTTTCACTCCGTCTCAACTCCCCTTTTCCCTTCCGGTTCTTTCCCTAAATCCTCTCTCTCACGTGACCCTAACTCCACCCACTCCCCACGTGACCCAGACTCAGCCCCCCCTCAATCCTTGCTCGCATTACACGACCCCCCCCCCCTAATGAAAACCCAGCCGTCGCCGGCTGCAATAAATATAATAAAATAATGCGAGCAACATTGTAACCTTCTGGCATCACTGGACAACGGAGAATATAACAACGATAACAAGAACAACAAGAACAATCAACGAAAGGAAAGGGATTTGGAATGCGTGCGGGTCGCCGACCTGTCACGAACGGGCGGCGGTCCCCCCACAGACCGAGACACGACGAGGTTTTAAAATCGACGGGAGTAGAACCGCCCGCCGCTGTTGGAGGCCCATCAATGCCAAGGACCCGTTCCCCAGAGAGACCCAAGTCCGGGGTCTCTGGCAACCGTGTCTGTGGTGGGGTTGGAGGGGCAGCGGGGTCAAGTGGCCCCGTGGCCGTGGTAGGCCCACCCATAGCAGGATTCGCCACATCCGCCTGCGTCACGGCTGGTTCGTCTGTAGAAGGCACGACAGGCGCGCTTGCAGAGTCAACAGGCAAGGGCAGAGGTGCGTCGGGTGCAACAGACACCGGCAAGGCAACATCAGGGGATGACGAATCCGTCCGCGGGGCCACGTAGGGCTTCAACCTAGACGTATGAACGTACCAGCGCCGTGATCCGAACCGAACCCGTGCGGATTGCGGGTTAGGGACTTCAATAAGCTTAACCGGCCCCTGCCATGGTTTGTGAAGCTTAGGGGAGGTCCCCGGCCGCACCTGCGGGCAGTGCAGCCATGCCATGTCCCCCACTCGCCAGGGGCATGTACTGGTCGAGCGCCGGGCGCAACGCCCGTTTCGCGCCTGAGTCTTGGCAGTAGCCAATCGGGCCCCCTCCCGTGCCTCGGCGACGCGTCAAACAGTGTCCTGAATGTATTCGGGGAGAGGTTTAACAGGACCCTTCGCCCCCGTACCCAGCTGTACTTCCACCGGCGGCACATTCTCACGGCCGTACATTAGAAAAAATGGAGAATACCCTGTGGACGCATGAGGCGTCATCCGATACGCGGAGAGTACCCCAGGTATATGCAAGTCCCAATCAGCTTGTTTCTCGTCAACCGTGTGACATAGCATGGCCGACAGCGTCCGATTAAGCCGTTCCACCATGCCATCCGTCTGCGGGTGGTAAGGAGACGTACGAACCTTCTTGGTTCAGAGCAGCGCACACTTCCGCCAACAATTTGGAAGAAAAATTTCGCCCCTGATCCGTGAGTAGCCTCTCCGGCGCCCCTTTGTCCAGCACATATCCAAATAGGAAGGCGTCCGTGATAGACGCCGCCGACTGGTCGGGTAAGAGCCAAGCCATCGGCCAACGGCAAAGATATTCCACCCCGACCAGCAAATATTTATTACCCCTAGCGGATGGCGGGAAAGGTCCCAAAATATCCAGCGCCACCAACTCGTTGATTCGAGACACCTGTATAGACTGCACCGGCGGCACGTAAGGGTTTTTAGGCGGCTTCCGCCGGGCACACTCGGGACACGCCCGAATGTGTCCGACGACATCCGTTGTCATGCCGTGCCAGAAGTAGTCTTGCTGCAATGTTAACAAAGTCTTCTGCACCCCGAGATGTAATAAAGTGTCGCCGTGCAGAGTCCGAATCAATTCATACCGTAACGACGACGGTACTACCAGACGCCAGCGGTCATGCAATCCCTCCCTCCACATGAGCAAACTATCCCGGAGAGCGGCCCCTGGTGTCCCACCGGACAGCAATCTCTCCGCTCCCTTCGCAGCCCGACTCTGTAAAGCCCCCAACGAGTCATCAAGCAATTGTTCGCGAATCCATACCGAGCGCGGCAGGTTCAGAACCCCATCTGCCGGTCCTGGGCACACCGGAGCCCCAGGCACCTCGACAGCTGACACGACAGGCCGAGGGGGTAGCTGAACCGGCGTACACCTATTCGTACCCGACGCGCAAGCGCAAGGGGACCCCTGCGGTAATCTGGAGAGTGCGTCCGCATTCGCGTGACGTGACCCCTTCCGATATTGTATGTCGATGGAAAATTCCTGCAGGGTCTCCAACCATCGTGCCAGTTGGCCAGATGGTTGGTCAACCCTCAAGGCATATTGCAGAGCCGCATGGTCCGTGCGCACAATAAACGACCGGCCGTAAAGATACGGCCGATATTAGCGGAGAAAATAGACAATAGCCAATAGTTCGCGGCGAGTAACGCAGTAGCGGGTTTCTGCCAGGGACAGTACACGGCTACCGTAGGCTACCACGCATTTCACGCCGCCCTTGGACTGTGACAGAACAGCCCCGATCGCAGTGTCACTAGCGTCCGTATCCAGAATAAAAGGTCGATCAAAATCCGGATAGTCCAATGTGGGCGACATCGCCAACCGATCGCGTAGGCCCTCAAACACCGCTTCCTCCGGCAGACCCCAACTGAACCTCCGACCCTTACCCGTAAGGAGGTGCAAGGGCCTAGCAATCATAGCAAAGTTCGGAACGAACCTGCGATAGTATGAGGCGAACCCCAGGAAGCGACGTACGTCCCCAACTGAGGCTGGGGTTGGCCAGTTGCGGACGCACGCCATCTTCTCCGGGTCCGTGGCCACCCCGTCCGCACTGACTATGTGTCCCAAATAACGCACAGATCGTTGCAGTAGGTGACACTTTTTCGGTTTGAATTTTAAATTGGCGGAGCGCATCCTAGCAAAAACCGTCTCCAATCTCTGCAAATGTTCGTCAAATGTGCGGCTAAAGATGATGACATCGTCTAAATAAATCAAACATGTCTCCCACTGCAGACCCGTTAACACCAGCTCCATCAACCGCTGAAAAGTGGCGGGGGCCGCATTCAAGCCCATCGGAAGACAATTTAACTGAAACAGTCCCTGCGGCGTACGGAAAGCCGTATTTTCCCTCGAGGACTTGTCGAGGGGAAGCTGCCAGAATCACGAAGAGAGATCCAGCATTGAAAAAAACTTCGCCCCAGACAAGGCATCGAGGGAATCATCCATACGCGGCAGGGGGTACGCGTCTGCGACAGACACCTTGTTCAATTTTCGAAAAAAGACGCAAAAAAGCAGTTTCACATCGTTCTTCTTCACAAGGACTACCGGCGCGCCCCATGGACTGTTAGACGGAGATATTATGTCAGCGGCCAGCATGTCCTCCACTGCACCGCGAA